ATATGTAAAACGACTGCCGACTGCTCTATCTCTCAGTTTGGCTAGGCAGGCAAGCTTCTCTATCAGCTTTAATTGCATTTCAAGCCAAATTCCATCAGCTCATCAGCCGAGTCAGCTCACAGACTCATTTGGCTTAAGGACTCTCATTAGTGTATAAAATATAGCTATTGGTGACTTTTGGCGTTAAACCGCAGCACAATATTAACAATGACGCATACGTAGCAGCCAGCACACACACACACACACACACACGCATACACAGCGACAGACCACCGCACACTATCAAATTTTAATACGCCAGCAGCTTGTGCCTTTATTTCATAAATGTTTAATGAAATTAAGCGGCAAGCTTTTTGGGTGAGCTGCCCTCAGCCTGGGTGCAGGCCCTGGTTTCGGCTGTGTGTCTGGCTGCCCGAAAAAAAAAAAAACAAAAAAAGAAAACCAGAGAGTATTCCGAAATAAATCATAAAGAATAAAATACATAAGTAAGCCAGACAGTTGGCCAACCAGTCAGGCAGCCAACAGGCATTACATTGTTTGCATACCTTTTTAAACGATTTTAAAAGTTATTTCACATGAAAATATAAAACAAAAAATAAAAAAAAAATATATATATAAAAGTGAACTTATTTTAATTTTATTTGCTTGCACACTTAACCACAACTAAAATTGCGGCTGCTAAATTATGAAATAAGCGGTTTTTATACGCTTTTGATTTTAATGAGAGCACATACAGAGAGAGAGAGAGAGAGAGAGAGAGAGAGAGAGAGAGAGAATGAGAGAGCAACATACACAGACATAGCTAAACAAGTATGAGCATTGCAGTCGGGCATTATCGACTACACAATACCCATGCAGGCTGCTAAGTCTATTTTCTGATGTGCCACGCCCTCAATAGGTATATATAATAATATATTGGGGAAAATTAGTAGACTATGGCAACATTAGTGTCTCGCTCTAGTACTGTAAATAAAATGGGGAAACACAGTTTTAGTCCAATTGCCAAATACCAAAGGTAGAATAGACGGTAAGGCGTAAGATTAATACAATATAATACCTTAAGACAATATACTCATATACATATACAATATACTCAAGCCAATATACTCACTTCACTTTAATGATTCAGTATAAAAAGGTTAACTAAAATAAGCACACCAAACACGAGCTCTGCTTCCGGCCCTATAACATGAGTCAAGCCAGGCAACACCCCTTCGCCCTGAAAAGTATGCAGCAAAAAATGCTGCTCGTTTGCAGCGCAACCGAAATGGGGCTGGGGGGCTCAAGTTGGGCAGACGACATGCCGCATGCCGTATATGCGAAATCAAAAGTTGTTTATGACTCAATTTGTAGTTTCTGAACATGAATTATTGCAGCTGCGCGCCCAAACGAGAATAAAAAAAAAAAAAAATACACAAAAAAATAGGAATGATATAAATGTATTCGTATATAGCATACATGCGTGTGTGTGTGTGTGTGTTTGTGTGCTTCGAACAACACGAAAAATGTGCTGAAAAATTTGGCTGAAAACTAATTTTGCAAAGAGGAAATTAAATATGGCAAAGTTTGACATATGACAGATTTGTTGCAGTTGTTGCTTTTGTTGCCTTTATCATGATTTTATTTATACGTCCGTCTGTTCGCCTGTCTCTCCGTTCGTCTGTCCGGCTGTCTCTCCGTTCGTCTGTCTGTCTCTGTGCAAGTAATTGAAACATTTGGAAGCTGCTGGCTGCTGGCAAATGCAAATTCTCAATTTTCAATTTTGCTGCCAACGTCAGAGCGTATTTATTTGCAGCAAAAAGCGTATTTCATTTCAATTCATTTGCTTTCAGTTTCTTCGCAGTCGCAGTCGCAAAACTTTCGCACTGAGCCACTTAATTTAGTCAATAAGATGCAAATGATCCCAGCGCTTCACTAATTAGAAACGCAGCCATGTCCAAAGCCCGCTCTCGGCCTCACTCGCTCACTCTCTCTCTCCCGCTCTCTCGCTCTCTCAGCTCGTTAGTTTGCCTTGTTTTCAGCATGGCAAGTGCTGCGGTGCCTTAAAACTATGCATAATCCACTGTGAATATCCGTTGACAGCAGCAGCAACAACAACAACAACAACAACGACGACGTCAACTCGACACTGATGAGCTCTCCACAGCATTTTCTTTCATTTGAATCTTGCTTTCGCACAGAGGCGTAGCTTAAGGTAGACAATTTCGATTTCACTTTCAGCTGAGCTTGAAGAAGGTTTTTTTAGTTGAATAGTTTATTAACTATTTCTTATTTGAAAAAAAAAAACATCTGCAAATTTTACTTTTGTTTTATGATTTTACGATGTAGCACTTAATAATATTTATATTTTTAATTGACCATATAGCATGGTACCTTTTAATAAGAAATCAAAAAATATATAATCAACCGAATAAAAATAAAATTGATCAAAAATAATAATTAAAGCTAAGTAAAATTTTTAATAATTTTTTTATTATTTTTTTTTTTTTTATTTAAAATTTATAATCAATAAAAGGACTTTTTTTTATATTTAATAGTAAAAATAAAAAAATTATATTAAATACATATTGCCTATACATTATACATTAAATACATTTTATTTATTTATTTATTTTTATGTAAATATCCAAGTCATCAATGCATAAAAAAATTATTTAAACAAATGTTGAATATTATTTTATTATTTTAAATATAAAAAAAGAAAACATCGCATTAAATATTTAATAAACAATATATATGTATGTATAATAAATTAAATGCAGCATAGAAAAGATAAAAAATATTAATTTAAGCTACTACAAATGTTAGGTCAGCAAATAAAATTATTTTGCTCACATAGCTAATCCTTAGTATTTAGCTAGTTTATAGCTAAGCTCTCTGCCTCCCCGTTGTCTGCGCTACTGAGTATATGTGCAGTGTATACATATGTATGTGTGTTTGTCTGTGTGTATAAGTATCTTCTGGCTTTCTCCGAGTGCCATATGCAGTCATGCCGTGCATGAAATGATGTGCACATTCTTCATCATCAAGTGCGCAGTTTGTACGTTTATCATTTCAGCTGCGGTTACTTTTCAGCTGCTGCTGCTGCTCCTGCTCCTGCTCCTGCTGCCCATATCTTCATTTTGGTTTGGGTTCTTGGTTACGTGGCTTGGGTTAAGGTTTCGATTTCAAGCAGCGCCACAATGACGACTCTGAAGCTGTTGACACACTCGCTGACAAATAGCCAGCAGTGAAGGAGGCAGAGGCAGGGGCAGATATACATATATACAGAGAGAGAAAGAGAGAGAGAGAGAGCGAGAGAGTGCACATACATATAATTGGATAAGAAGCGCACTGGCATAAAGGCTTACATTTTCCTGCGCTGTGTCGCTCAATTGGAAAATTCAATCAAATTAGCGCCAATATATGAAATTTATATATTTAAACAGCAAAAACTCCCAACTATGTGTGCATATGCAGCTGGCTGCCCGACTGCCTGACTGCATAGCTACATGGCGGCATTGACATTGGCAATGTAAGAGGGGAGCAACAGCAGCAGCAGCAGCAGGAGCCGGAGTCGAACCATTGCCACATGTTTCATGGCTGACTACTTATCGCTTAATCACATCAGAGCATCGACCAGTGTGTTGGGCCATAAAACATTTAGCAACATGAAATCGTTACTTTTGCCCAAACATCAAAGCCAATCAAAATGGCATTTCAATAATATCAGAGCACTACAATCGCATCAACGTAACTGTGTGGGGCAGAGGGAGCAGCAGTCGCAGCAGCAGCATCAGCAGCATCAGCAGCAGCAGGAGCAGGGGAAGGCGGAAAACTCATACAGCCAGCAAATGTTGTAATGTGGCACGCATTGCGATGGGGGGCGGGGCAGAGCGATGGCACATAAACGATTTGTTCGCAAATATCATGAGCATGAGCTCACTCCCACACAGCTGACAGACAAACCGAAAATACACACACACACACACACACACACACATTTTGGGGGTGTTGTGTGGCAATTGTGTCAAACGAGACTTTCGCTTTTCAACAAATGTGTCCTTGGCCAAGCATTACAAGATGTCACACACATGCACGTGTGTATGTGTGTGTATCTGTATGAGTGTGTGTGTGTTAGTCATAAAGATATTGACTTGAACATAAAGATTGGTAAAGGAAGAAATTATCTAATTTAATGTTACTTTTTTTTGCATATTTATTTTTATTATTTACTTTATTTTTGCTTTGCATGCATCATAACTGATAATTTATTTATTTACTAATTTTAGCTGTAATCTTAGCTGCCAAATGCTTCTTCCAATGCTGGTCTTTACTCATTTATTTATTTATTATTTTTATTGATATATTTATTTATTATTTTTATATATTTATTTATTTTATTATAACTTTTATTTTATTTAATTATATTTCTTTTTTATTTTATTTTATTTTTTATTTTTTTAATTTTTTATTTATTCTTTTTTTTTTATTTTGCATGCATCACAACTGATAATTTTTTTATATATTTTTTCCTTTACTAAATATGGCTTTAAACTAAGAATGCTGTCAAATGCTTCTACTGCTGCTCTCTACTCTTGTGCCTCTTTTTCTTTTTCTTTCTTCTCACGGGCTGCCTTGTCGCATGGACAGCCCGAATCCTGTTCTGAAATTGGTTCCGATGGTTTCGCGCATCCAATATCGTCGGCAAGTGGAAATAGTTTGTTCACCGATACGGGATTTGGCTGGGATGCAAGGCACATACATTCATCTTCATCGCCACAATCTGAATCGCCGCCTTCGCCATCTTTAGCATTGAGATCCTTGGAGGCGCACGGACACATGGCCTTCATTTCCTCCTCTTCGGATGGACTTAACTCCAATAAACAATTTCCATCGTTCATTTCGATCATAATCGGCTGGGGTTCGTTGGCGCACGCCTGCTCCTCGAGTGCTCTCGCTCGGCACGCCTCACAATATGAACAGATGTCGGTCAACTGGCCTTGGGATTGACCTTGCTGGTATTGCTGCTGCTGTTGGTATTGCTGCTGTTGCTGTTGCTGCTGGTATTGCTGTGGCTTCTGTCCCTGCTGTGGCTGAGCTGTCGAGCAAGCGGATGGACCACCTAGACCACCTTGAGCTGCTCGAATACTTCGCGCGGTCTGAGGAGGCTGACCGCCCTGAGCCCCGCCTTGACCACAGGGACCACCCTGGGCACCTTGACCAGCTTGATTACCAGAATACTGCTGAGCTCCCTGGCCACCTTGACCAGCTTGAGCACAAGGCTGATTAGCAGAATACTGCGGAGTTCCTTGACCTCCTTGACCACCTTGACCAGCTTGAGCACAAGGATTACCACCATATTGCTGACCTCCTTGACCACCTTGACCAGCTTGAGCACATGGTTGATTACCAGAATACTGCTGACCTCCTTGACTACCTTGACCAGATTGAGCACATGGTTGATTACCAGAATACTGCTGACCTCCTGGACTACCTTGACCTCCTTGACCACCTTGACCAGCTTGAGCACAAGGATTACCACCATATT